CACTGGCTGACCACCATGGAGTACCCTGGGCCGGTCTTGCCTTGATTGTTCTTGCTGTGAAGTCCCCACTTGCTGACCTCCATGGGGCTTATGCCCCCTGTGCCGGGCGCGGACACCTCTCGGGGTGGGCACTTGTACGCCAAGGTGAATGGAGCACCCAAAACTCGGAGCTACTCCACTGGCTGACCACCATGGAGTGCCCTGGGCCGGTCTTGCCTTGATTGTTCTTGCTGTTAAGTCCCCACTGGCTGACCACCATGGGGCATATGCACATCTTTCATCCCCCCTAGGGAGTCTGACTTGCAACATCCTTTCGCCATTGAGTGTCGGTTGTCTGTCCTTGACAACGAGTACGTGATCCGAACCTCTTCTGATGACCTCGGTTTGAATAACCGCTGTCGCACCAGTGGCTACATGATGGTGGTTTTGAGAATCTGGCAATGTCGCAATTTGCGATTCCCCCACAAGCTCTGTGCTTCCTTGTGAACCGGGACTTCATTGACGACCTCGAGTACTGAGTCCGTGGGGTATCTAGTAGTTCAGCGCGATTGCTCGCTTTGTTTCTTTGGTGTTTGTTTGCTTGGTGGTTGCTTGTTGTGTCTGGTGGAGTGTGTGCGCTGACTTTGTTTCACCCTTTACGTCGAGCCCAACAAGACCGGCCTACTGTGCTACTGATGTAGTAAAGAGGCGTCAGTCCAAAAAAATGACCACCATGGGGAGCCCTGGGCTGGTCTGCAGTGCTCACTTGTAAGTCCCCAGTGGCTGACCACCATGGGGCGCACGGACGCTTGTAATAGGAAGTTTCCATGGCACCCCAACCTGCCTCGGCGAATGTGGTGAGGTGTACAACTTCAAGGCGCTTGAGCCCTCGGCCCTTGTTGTTGACCCTGCCGTCTCCTCTTGCCTTGCGGACGGAAGGATTCGTGCAACATTGGCAAACCCTGAGGTCCACTGCTCCGCTATGTGCAAGGACTGGTGTTTCCCCCAGTGGAGTCGGTCGCTACTGATGCGCATTGACCTCCCTTCTGGCTGGTTGATGCAACTTGTCGGGACGGGGACACCCTTCTGGGTGGGCGCTGCGGTGAGCCTAATGGAGCGGAGAGCCTCTCGCTCGGGGCTGCTCCACTGGCTGACCTCCATGGAGTACTCTGGGCTGGTCTTGCCTTGATTGTTCATCGTGTTAATGTCCAAGGTAAGACTGCCCAGTCTTCCTCTCCTCTGCCCCCGTCAGCCGGGTCGGTTGCTCCATTTCTGTGCTATGGCCTTACGGGAACCCTTCGGCCTTGAGACCCAACAACCGCAAACCCTGGTTGCCCCGCTGCTCATCGCTGGAGGAGACGACGCGTGATTCACGTGCTGTCACGGCAATGTGACCCGCCCTTCTGTAATATCTCGGCTGAGTGCCGACTCTGGAAAGACCAATACTGCGGTGCTTTCTTCCAGACTGTGGGCACTTCTATGTGGAGAATATACACCCACTGCCATGGCAGGGAGCCATTGAGCACCTGTGCACTAACCTGGCCTTCAAGAGGGTCATCCTCGTCTGTGCTTGGCCTGCGGCGGCACAGCTGTTTCGCCGCTTGCTTGGCTGTAACCTGATGGCTCTGATTGGATCAAAGCAGTTTTACCATGGAGATCCTTGCGCTTCGGCACGCAAACGTGATGTGAGCCCTCCCATCTCCTTACCGACGTACCTCGTGGGTTAGGGTTTGGAGGGACCTGATGCAGACTGATGCGCAGGCCAACGCAAATGCTGTGTGGCCTTGTGTGCTGATGACGCTCATGGTGGAAACGGTAGCTGTAGCGACTCACGCAGTGGAGGGCCGTCTGTGAGACCTTGCTTGTGCGCGGACATCTATCCAGGTGGGCGCAGCTGCAAGCCAGGGTGAGCGGAGGACATTTCGTTCGGGGCTGCTCCACTGGCTGACCACCATGGAGTGGCCTGGGCCGGTCAGGTCTTGCCTTGATAGTTCTTGCTGTTAAGTCCCCACTGGCTGACCACCATGGGGCATACGCACGTCTTTCCTCTCCTTGGGGAGTCTGACCTGTAACATCCCTTTGCCACTGCGGGTCTGTTATCTGTCCTTGACGACGGGTACGTGATCCTGACCATCGAGTGATGACCTCGGTTCGATTCGAATGATGTCGCACCAGTAGCTACATGATGGTGGTTTTGAGAATCTGGCAGTGTCGCAATTTGCGATTCCCCGCATGCTCTGTGCTGTATGATTGCACCGGGACTTCAACGACGACTTCGAGTACTGAGTGCGTGGGGTTACCTAGTAGTTCAGCGCCTTTGCTTGCTTTGTTTCTTCTGTTTCTTTGGTTCTTGGGTGGTTGCGTGGTGTGTTTGGTGGTTTGAGCGAGCTGACTTCGTTTCACCTGTTATGTCGAGCCCAACAAGACCGGCCTACTGCGCTACTGATGTAGTAAAGAGGCGTCAGTCCAAAAAAAAGAAAGTTATGGTACATTACCTTCACTGTGGAGGTCACTGGAGCTTCTCTACCTTTTCGATCAATTTTGCTGCCCCTTATCTTGGGTTTCAGATTCTCCAGGTTTTGGTGCAAGGAAGAGAAGGGTGCAGAGTTAACATCGGTGGAAACTACAGCTTGGAAAAGTTTAATGCTTGAAACAAGGGCAAGAAATCAATTCCAAAAGGTAGGGAAGCCAAAGTGACCTCCACAGTGCGAGAAAGATCGCAAGAGTTGCAAGCTAAAGACAAGTTTAGCCAAGTACGCGTATCAACGCCGTTTTTTCTTTTCTTGAGTGTTGATGTAAACAGTATTAAATAGAAAAAATTTTGTTTGTCTGTAAGTTGATTTTAATTATTATTAAATTTAAATGGGTTCCAAAAGCAGCTTAATTCTGGGCACCGAAAACGGGTTCTATTTTTCCAATTTGGATTTCCTGTGTGAACATAGGGCACCCAGGTTGGAGCTTTAAATTGGAACCCAAGTTTGGGAAGCCATTTTTGGGCGAAGACGATCTGGCTTTCACAGCTTCTCGTTGCAAGTTAAACAAATAAAGCCTCTTAGTCGGTTCCAGTCTAAGTCTTGTGTCAGTCTTTCCCCAAAATTAGAACAGCAGCAAAGCGGCATTGTTTGGCACCGAAAATTTCTCCAACAGTGCGAGAAAGATCGCGCGCGAACAATGCAAGAGTGCTTTGTCTTGAATGCCAGCTAAAGACAAGTTTAGCCAAGAACACGCGTATCGACGGCGTTTTTTGTTTTCTTGAGTGTTGATGCAAACAGTATCGAATAGAAAAAATCTTGTTTGTCTGTGAGTTGATTTCAATTATTATTGAATTCAAATGGGTTCCAAAAGCAGCTCAATTCTGGGCACCGAAAACGGGCCCTAGATTTTGGATTTCCTGTGTGAACATACAAGGCCACCCAGGTTGGAGCCTCAAATTGGAACCCAAGTTTAGGAGCCATTTTTGGGCCCAGCTGCGGCGTTTTTTCACACACGGGAAGCCAGATCTGGCTTTCACAGCTCCTCGTTGCGAGTAAAACAAATAAGCCTCTCAGTCGGTTCCAGTCTAAGTCTTGTGTCAGTCTTCCCCCAAAATTAGAACAGCAGGCAGCAAGGCGGCAAAGTGTGAACTTGTTTGGCACCGGAACTTTCTCTAACTGTGCGAGAAAGATCGCACGCGAACAATGCAAGAGTGCTTTGTCTTGAATGCCAGCTAAAGACAAGTTTAGCCAAGAACACGCGTGTCGACGGCGTTTTTTGTTTTCTTGAGTGTTGATGCAAACAGTGTCGAATAGAAAAAATCTTGTTTGTCTGTGAGTTGATTTCAATTATTATTGAATTCAAATGGGTTCCAAAAGCAGCTCAATTCTGGGCACCGAAAACGGGCCCTAGATTTTGGATTTCCTGTGTGAACATACAAGGCCACCCAGGTTGGAGCCTCAAATTGGAACCTGTACTGTTGCCCCATTTGATGGCAGATGGATGGAAGATCAGACCGGCCGCAGAATGCTATGTTGGTCTTATTTGCATTCTGCTTCTCCCCAATGGACGGCTACCAGAAAAGGGCGCCGGCGTAACTGGCATTTCCGTTTGCGCCACTTGCCAAGTGTAGAAATTCTTTAACCCTTGCAGATTGCGCCAGTTGCCCTTCGTTGGGAAAAGGGGCCGACCGTGAACCTTCAACGCGTTAGCAACTTAGATAAAGAAGTGTGACGCGTTCCTTTTTCTGGAGAACTCGGTCCATCGCCGTCAGCCTCTAACACCTCCCGTGTAATGTGCCTAAGACACCAAGCTTCCTTGTTAATGAGCGTCACATTATCCGCGTCCTCAAGAACTACCAGCACGTTCCGCGGCCCCTTGTTAAGTTCGCAGTTGGAGCGCAGCAAGGAGAAGGTATTTCGGAAGCTTTAAAGCACCGTGTAACGAAAGTTCGCCAGGAACCTGTTAACGCTGATCCTTGGAACAATGCTTTTTTCGAAGGCCCGCAAGAATTCTTTCCTCAAGGAGTGCCTTTCAAGTTGCAGGACCGTGACTTCCCCAACTTGTTCAGCTTCGGGCGGGCGAGTTCATGTTACGGAAAGAGCATGATGCAGCGATGGAACGCGTTGCAGACAACGCCCCTCGTCTTGGTGAGGTCGCCTGCTGCTACGAAGGAAAGGCTACTAACCTGCGGCAAGATTTACCGCCGACCGGGTGTCTGTGCCGGCCGGCTACTACCGCACCAATGACGATTTTCAGCTAGCCGACATGTTGGGTTTGGGTTGGGGTAAGATTGACCAACATGAGGCCGATTGGGTCATCATTGCGCAGGAGGACCTCCCGAACTACACCGAAATTAACATTCCTCGAAGGAACACAAACTACCTCTCCGGCATCGTCCGCGGAAAAGTCTATGAGGGAATGCAGGATGAGGAACTCTGGTGCTTGACTCGCGAGGTGCTCGACAAGCTCAACGAGGACTGTGGCACACGCTACGGCCTCGCAGTGTGTTGACTCGACAAGCTGCTCCTGGCAGCGCAGTGTTGTACATGAGGGACACCACGACTGACACCATCATCTGGAGCAGAGCAGAAGAGGCCGATGCCACTCTTACAGAGGAGGCCGAGTTTCCTCTACCGCTTGGAGGTGATGCGCCGCAGGATGCAGTGGAAGTCGAGATCGAAGTTGAGGACGAGCAAGATGAAGATCAGTCACAGCCCGTTGCCGCCGTTGAGCTCCCCGTTGAAGATGTTCCCGCAGCTCCACGTGTCACGTTCAACACTGACATTGAAGTGGTGCCCATCTCCTCAACGAGAAGGACCGACTCCCTTTTGGAAATCATCCCTCACGAGAAGGAGATCGAGGACACTGGTGGAGAAGTGCCCAGGAGCCATGCGGCTGGTACATAGCGCGCCGGGAACGTAACGCAAAGTGCGGAGAGTTGCGTTTGGAGGGCCAGCGCAGGTGCTTCCACTGCGGCTTCCACATTACGAAGGGGAGCCGACAGACATCATTTCGCATCTTTATGTCCCAACACGCAACCGAGTATTGGATGATATATCCAGGGCAACCGGCCAGAGGTTGTTGGAGCTTACGTCTGCTGCAGTTCGACGAGGCGCAGGAGGCCATGATCACAGAGGAGCGCAGTCCATCGACGGCCGAGCTATTTCCCAAGCAAAACAATCCTTGCCACACACTGGCGTGCTCGAGAAGTTCGACAATGATGGGAATTATGCCATTTACGCGGTCCGAAATGGATGGACTCGCTGTCTCCTCTCGATCCAGGAATGTGTCGCCTTTGCCCACCTCCCCAACCAAGGGCGTAGCCGAGAGCAAAGGGCACTGGGGTAGGGCTCGAATTGACGCCTGGAGGCTGATCACGTCGAGCACACTGCCGCCGCCCTGGCCCGGTTGGTTTCGTTCGACAAGTCCGCCGACGATCTCGTCCAGCAGGCCGGGTTTATCGCAAATGACCAAGCATTGATGAGTTCACTCGCGTAGTGTTCTGCACGAAGGGAGTGACGCGCATCCTGACTTTCACGGAAGGCGTAATCGAAACCCCTATCTTCAATGACATGAACGATTTGCAGATCTCTTTCGTTCCATTGTCCAGGATGAACACTGTCCAGGATGAACACTGTCCAGGATGAACACTGTCCAGGATGAACACTCAGGCGGACGGGCCCTCTGCCGCCGTATGAAGGAACAAGCTGAAGCTTCGCGCGTCGCCAAGCCAGTCTCATACTGAGGAGGCCGACTATTGGTCAAGTTCTACATGGGGCTGGTCCAACACTGGCACGTGGTGGTCAGGGGACTGGCGTTCCGAAAGCAGATGGGGCCAATGCGACTGGAATCAGAGCTCAGGATCTCGCGCACCCTGGCGCTATGATCGGCATGATTGCAGTTGGTGAATGGACGCCCCGTTTTGAGCACTTCCCTTTCTTTTGAGGATGATGCATCGCAACCTAAAGTGTTGCATGAGCTGCAATTGTATCCCCGCCAACACTTCAAACTTTTGTAACGTTGGTGCGCGGCGATCAGCAGCATGGATGAGAATTCATGCCTCGGGCATGCGTGCTATGAACATGCACTAGACAGGTGACAAGCGGCACGTACAGTGCATGCCGTGGCTTCGTTGACTGCGTCTCTTTCACGCTTCAACGAGGGGGGGTGTGTTTTCCATTTGTGCATCCCAACTACTTTTACCTGCACACATGTTGCACCCGTTTGCGCGCTCAAGCCCTCTGAGACAAAAAGGATAGCGCTTGCCTTTGCTCATGGCTTAACGGATTATACTGGTGGATTTCCCAATCCATAGTGCTGGAATATTCTGAGCATTCCTGGACGGGGTTGAAGAATGTTGCACGCAGCAAAGTAGATTGGATTGGTTTAAGTCATCAGTCATCAGTCATCATATAAAAGTTGTTTGGAGTTGCTGTTGCACTGCAAGTTTGCCAAAATGCACCTCTAACTGAGCGGCTAGCGGTACAACTCGAGAAAGCCACACAGACTGTGCGGATGCGGGCTGGCATGTTGTAGCAGACTGTGGGCGGCCTTGGAGTGGACAAAGATAGGAATTCCAGCTAAGGCTATTCGTTTCCGCATGTTACACTTTGTATTGACAGACTGATGTGATTTTTTGCGGAAGTCGTGGACGATGCCAGTCATATACGAGTGTGTCGACGCAAGTCAGCCGTCGCATATAGCTTACCGAACTTGGAAGCCTTTGCGCGACTGCACCGGGAAATTCCCTGTGTCTTGAAGGAGAAGCGATGGCACCTCTCGACTGTCCGGCACGTGACAGATAAGCAGCGCAATCACACTGGGCTAGTGAAGTGGGGCAGACGCAGTTCTTGGACTATTTCCGGAGCTCTCACTTGCGCAGAGTGTGGTAGCGACTGACAGCAAAGCGCTTCTGCCCCAGCCATGTTCCAGGCAAGGCTGTGCAACCGCCTTGATTGTCCTTTTTGAATTGAATCGTGATGAGGACGACCTGTCTGTCCTTCGGAGAAGCTCAATTTCTTGCTGGCAGCGTGCACGATGCAAGTGCAGGCATCTTCGTTGCTTGCAGCTTTGGCAGCGGTGCTCTGCAACAGTGAGGCCGTCCATACTGGTTGCGCCAGTGATGCAATGAATTTGTTTTGTGAGGTCGTCACGGTAGTAAGGGCAGACATGCTGAACAGAAAAATGATTGAACATCATGGAGTATATTTTGCATGGGCAATCGATGCACACAACACGCAACAACCTTCTTGAAGGCCTGGTTAGGGAGTCACCTTGACCCGAAATCCGAAACTCTAAACCCTAAACGCCCTAAACCATAAACCCAAACTACGGGAAGCGAAACCTGCTGCGACACAGTGGTAATGTTTAGGTTGCAACTTCGCCCATCCATGCCCGCCCCGAAGCCAAAGACCCAGAGCGGGGATAGGCCAAGCGCCCGAAAAGCCCGAATAAACCAACTTCGTGCGTGAAAAGCTCCGTCCTCGTCACTGGAGAGGGAATCAGAGGAGAGTTTAGGGTTTAGGGTTTAGGGTTTAGGGTTGAGGGTTGGGGTTGAGGGTTTAGGGTTTAATCCGAGCTCCTGTTTAATTGGTGGGGGCCCCCCCCCCCACAATAAGGAAAGCAGGGTTCCGCAATAGTTGGACCATGGCCCCGTATGGTTTCTCTATTAAAAAACAATAAGAACTCCTGCAGCAGAGCCAGGGCGAGAGGTGCAGCCTTAGCAGAAGAAAAAAAGCTTTCCGAAAGGCAAAGTTTCAAAATTTGACAACCCCCCCAAAAAAAAATTTCTTTAAATGTGGAGGGTTTGGCCCATACGAAATCCATCGTAATGGAAAGTAGTCTTCCGGCGGGAATCCGGGCAAAAAAAATTTCTTTAAATATGGGGGGTTAAATTAAACAGGAGCTCGGATTCGGGTTTAGGTGGGGAAGCTCTGACGCATCGCGGCCGACGGCCATAGTATTGCCCATAGTGAGGATTGGGAAGTATGATGCGAATTGATGAGAGTGATGGTTATGGGGATATTTTGTGTGCACCAATATCGGGGTCGGAGTAAATACTAGTAATCTTCCCTTAGGATTTCCTCATACTTAGCCTACAATCACCCCCAACTTAGACCCGAAACCCTAAACCCTCCACCCCAAATTTGCAGGGCGTGCCGGGCCGCTGCGAAGATGCGGACGAGATCGACAAGGCGGGCGAAGAGATGGCCCGGCGCTCAGTGTGCACTTGAGCGGGGGCCTGAGGCTTATGTCGACTTGGTGGTTCTGACAAAGATTCAGGGACCCCTAAGATAGTCCCCAAATACCAGGATTCACGTATAAAAAGGACCCCAACAAGGTTCCCCTAATTTCGGCTTTTGTAAAGATGAAGGGACCCCAAATATAGCCCCCAAATATTAGGATTCCCTTTTAATCAGGACCCCCAATGAGGTTTAGTTTCGGAAGCCCCCAATGTCGATTTGGTGGGTATAAGGACCCCAGTAAGGTTCCCCCTAATTTCAACTCCCGCCATGTGAGCCTCTGTCTTCGAGGTTCTGGTGCACCTGGGGAACTTCGCCCGGAAGCCTGGAAGCGAGGAATCGGGCAGGGGTTAAGGTTTAGGGTTTAGGGTTTAGGGTTTAGGGTTTAGGGTTTAGGGTTTAGGGTTTAGGGTTTAGGGTTTAGGGTTTAGGGTTTAAGGGTTTAGGGCTTAGGGCTTAGGGCTTAGGGCTTAGGGTTTAGGGTTTAGGGTTTAGGGTTTAGGGTTTAGGGTCTAGGTGTAATTGAACAGACAAGCCCGCCAGGTTGTACACGTCAATGAATGTGCTGCTACGACATGCGGGAGCCGCACTTTCCAACTGCAGAGGCTTTAGGAAGTAATGCCAACCATGACATGCAGTATGCAGACTCGGCATGCAGTATACAGACTCGGCACCTGCGCGACCGTTGAATGGTATAGAGGGCTGAGTTAGACAAGCGTCGACAGCAAAACAATCGGAAAACGGAAGGAAGGATTGAGTCAGAACACGCACCCGGCATATTCAGAAAACGCATAGGGCGCCAGGCCAAGCAGTTGGAAAATACAGCGTAGCTCCGGCATGGTTTCCCAATAGATAGTGATAGATTCGTTGCTTGTGTACAACCTGGCTGGCTTGTCTGACAAGATTGAGCCAAATTTTTTAGTCTCATGCTCTGGGGCTTGGCAGGACAGGAGACGGAAGAGGAATGGGGATGACTCAGACGCCAGACGTCGCCCTAAGGAGAGGTATTCTGTGGATCGCTCTGTTCCAGAAACCGTCTACTCTTGGGTGGCTCTGCGGAGAGGCCGACCGGTCCGGCTCCAAGAAGTTCGTGCAAACACCGCTGGACAGTCTTCTGGCCCTGCAGGCTCCGGGGGTTTAGGGTTTAGGGTTTAGGGTCTAGGGTCTAGGGTTTAGGGTTTAGGGTTTAGGGTTAAGGGGGCCCTGGTGGTCCTGGAGGCCCTGGTGGTCCCGGTGGCCCTGGTGGGGGCGGGGGTCCTGGTGGGGGCGGCCCGGCCCCAGAGACTCCCAAGTTCAACGTGCCAACTGGATTGAAGATTTGCAATCCGCATGTTTCAACTCGCTGCGCGGAAGAAATGATCTTCGTGACCATTCCCCGCTTCACCGCGGACAACAACACGATTGGAGTGCCGTACACCCTCAACAAAGTCGGGGAGGATGCCGACGGCTTCTTTCTGGAACCTGGGTCTTTGTTGAAGATCATTTTACATTTTTATGAGTACTTCCACCCCAAGAAGGAACAAAAATTGTTATTTTTCATAGTGCCCCAAACCCTAAACCCTAAACCCTGAACAGGCTAAACCCTTGAGCCCCAACAATGGTGCAGGAACCCTGGCCGAGCCGGGATGTTCAGAACGATGGCCCGTGCACCAAGCTGCAGAGCGTCCTCGCGATGGAAATTGACACCGACGGTGTCATGTGGGTCGTCGACTCGGGCCCCAAGAGAATTCAGAACTTGGGCCCTGAGCAGGGCGTGCTCGATGTGAGGTCTTCAGAGATCACGCGGGGCCGGGAGTGTCCTCCGAAGGTGGTTCTGATCGACATCCCCACTGGCGACGTGATCCACTCCTACGAGTTTCCAGACTCCTCGGCAAAGAAGTCTTCTTTACGGGATGGATCCTTGCTCACGGACCTTGTCCTCGATGTCAAGCGCAAGATCGCATACATCAGCGACTCGAATGGCCCCGAGGACGCAGTGGGTGGCATCATCGTCTACGACCTGGAAAACAACCGAAGCCGGCGATTCCATCCGGAAAACAACTGCGTGGAGAAGGCCGAGCCACTTGGCTCAGTATGAGCTAGCTGATGAGCATGAAATGCAACACGAGGCGCGTCTAGGTTGCGAGATGTTTGGGTCAATGCTTTGTTGGGCTCCCGTGACACCGATCCCGCCAAACGTGTGAAATGCCGCGGCAGATTGAAAAAGCAACAGTTTTTGAGGCTGGCCAAGCGTGGCTTAGGATGGGGCGCGCCGTCCAAGGTTCACGCGGGGTTGGTGTTTTAAGGTGCAAGCGTGGCGTAACCCTAAAAACCCGTAAGCCCTAATCCCTAAAAGCCCCTAAGCCCCAAACCCTAAATACTCGTACCTATAAGCCCTACGGCCTCAAACCCCTAAACCCTAAACCCTAAAAGCCCCTAAACGCTAGACCCTCAACCCTAGCAACCCTAAACCCCAACCTAAAACCCCCAAACCCCTAAACCCCAAGCCCGAAACCCTAAACGCCCCCAAACCCCAAAACCCGAGAAACCCCTAAACCCTGAACCCTAAACCGCCCTAAACCCTAAACCCTTAACCCAAAAATCCCCTAAACCCTAAATCCTAAACGCTAAATCCCTCTCTTGAAGCCCCTAAACCCTAAACTGTCCCGAAAAGCACCCCCTAAACCCTCCTGACAAGCACCGTGTGTGCGCCCTAGATGCGCCAGGGCAGTGTGCACGTTGTATCACGCCGTCACAAGTCAAAGTCTGCAGCGCGGCTATGGCAGCTCTCTAGATCAAAAGCTCCAAAGACATTTGTGTGTGACAATGATCGTGCCCAGGCCCCTGCAACTGGATGGAGTGAACGTCGATGCACCATATGGAGCCTCTGGGATTAAAGGCATAGCGCTCTCCCCAGACACGAAGCACGTCTACTGGACCTGTGCGAACGCTTTTGCTCTGTATTCTGCTCCCGCGCGGCTTCTTGTTGAAGGGCTCGACGAGGACATCCAGGACGCAATCATGGAGTACGGCAATCTGTCTGGTCTCCCGGGTGGCATCACTGTAGGCGAGAATGGCGCGCTGTTCACTGGAGGGGGTCGCGCAATGAATGTTTTCGAGATAATGCACGGCAGGATTGCGACAGTGAACACGATCCCCAGCGAGGACGCGCTGACCTGGATTTCATCTTGGGCGTGGGACAACAAGGGCAGCCTTTGGCTGCTCAGCAACAAATACCACCGGTGGCTTTACGGCCTTCAAAAGGGAAAGCCCATGGATTGGGCTGGGCGGAGTGGGTCCAATGTCCGAATCATGAAGAAACATGTCGGCACAAAGTCATATATGTGTGCCCAAGGAGGCGTCTCCTGCTAGCTGCCTGGGCTGGTTTGCTCCTACAGGGTTTAGGGTTTAGGGTTTAGGGTTTAGGGTTTATCGTTTAGGGTTTAAGGGGTGGTAGGTGGCCGCCGCCCGGAGCCCTTCATGTTACCGGTGGCATCACAAGAATGTCCATTCTGGCGGCGCGTGGCCAGATCGGGACCAATCACAAAGGCTGGGACCGACTGCCGCATAGTCTTTAAACCTTTAAGCAGCGGAAGAGGACAAACCTTTTCGCTGGAGGTCCTGAGGGGCGTTTTAAAGAGAGGGCCAACAGTTGTGAGCTCAACCGATCAAGGGCGAGAATCGTCTGTGTGAGGAGGAAAGTCCGCCAGACTTGCCAGATTCATGTTCATGTGTTTTCACTGGGTTTGCCAGCGATCACGCTTCTGCAAGCTTCTGAGCTGGGTGGAAAGAGAGCCACGCAGCCTTACAGCACTTTTGTTTTAATAGTGTTTTAATCAGCGCCGTTGTCCCCTGGCGCTCGACAGCGTGATGAAGGCAGGCGTGCGTGACAATATGGTAGACATGTGCAACAGAACCGCTGCTGGCCCGGCAGCTCTTGTTTCATGGAACGATTTCCCTTGCCCAGGCTGTCCACAATGGATGTCTTCTGCTGTTCGCGCTTGCTGCTGGACTTGGGCAGGCCATGATGCTAGTGTCACGTGACCTCATCTCATCTGCCATGTGTCAGCGACCTGGGCTGACTGCAGGACCCGCGGACTCCCTTTACTATCAGCATTCAGTCCGCTTCTCTCGCTGCCGGCAACGACAACATGACCACCGCGCACTGCCCTCAAGACTATGTGCTGACAAGCTGCACGTCGACGGACAGCAGTGAGGACGATGGACTAACCGCAACCATTAGGTCATGCAGCGCGCACGCGAGTTCCTTTAGCACTGGCACTGCTGCCATAGCAACATGCAAATGGGACTTGCTCACACTCAGTGCAGTGAAGCGGAGTTCAGACCTTTTCTTGGATGGGCAGACCCTGAACGTGAGCTGTGGTGACAACCTCACAGCCACAACCTGCTTGTGCCATTCGCCTTGGTCAGTGAGGAGCATCTGCGGTGGATCGAGCACTTTCGAGCCCCAGGATGGGAATTGCGTGCTGGATGTTGCGGACTACTCAGCATCCAGCCATCGCCGCCGCAGTGTGGAATTCGGCTACGGAGCTCGGGTGTCTGCAGTGTGCTCTGTTGACCAGGACTTGCTGGTAGAATAATGCGGGTACTGCCAAGCCACACGTGGAAGGGAGCTTCTGGCGCCCACAATGCGCGCGAAGTACACTTCCGACGCGTGTGTGTTCATACTGTTTAAGGGCCTACGCTCAGAGGCGGGCAGCGGGGGGGGGGGGGGGGGGGGGGCCGCCCCTTGGGCAACTTTTCATGCACGTTACACAGGGAGCCCACCTGGTGAGCACCACGAGCATCATGGCGGACCTTAAGGTGGAAGTATAGCGTGGGAATGAGAAGGGAGTGGGGAGAGTGGGGAGGGAGGAACTCCTTTAAGGTGGACATATGAGGCGGAACTTGGTGCACTCGGAGGTTCAGGGTACTTAGAACAAGTCCTCTAAGTAGGTTATAAGTAGACTTATAATCGGGTTTATAGGTACCCATGAACCTCCAAGGTATGGAGGAGCAGGGAAAGGATGGGGAGAGGGGTGCGGTAGGTTCTCTGCTTGTTCGGGCCCTCCGTGTACAATATTGCCCCAATATCTGATTCAAACACAAAAAGGCGAAGACCCAGTTATGGGGTATCAAGCTACTTCCCTGCACTTCAAAACCCACACACAGGTAAAGCCGCAAAGGGTTTTGCAGCATGTTCAAGACTGTACAACTTCGAATGCAATTGCAACGTCGAGCGTAGCTGCAACATCGAACGCAGCTGGGGCCTCCAACGCAACTGCGGTATGGAATGCAACTGAAAAAAGTCTGACTGATCGAAACGGCTTCGCGCTAGGCCGCTAGGTGCAACTGAGATTGCAGGTTAGTGTGCCGCCCCCGTCCTCGCCCCCTGCGTAAATGATGGACAAGAAAAGTCTACGATCTGGAATCGGACTTTTTCAGCAACATCCCATGCAGAATCCCAAGAAATACTGCGGGGTCAAAGCTATCGTGCAGGATGTCGGCGCTGTTCGTTTCACGTGCAAGCATGCACGGGTCTTGTGGTCATGCCTGCAAGCACATGCTCTACAATAGGGTTTAGGGTTTGGGGTTTAGGGTTTAGGGTTTAGGGTTGCGCACATGACCCCCTCATGGATTCGAGCTCCTGCTACTCACATGATCACACATGCCGACAAACTAGGAACAATCACCAGCGCGTTCAGAACGTTCGGCCACGATAACATTCGCATGCTGCTGATCCCGATCATGCATGGTCAGTTTTACGACATAAAGTTAATTCGGCAGTGCGCGGATCCCGCTTCCATGTTGCCCACTCGCTGTCGCAGCATATCCCACAAACGCAGTGCGTTCATCTCCGGTTTTGAATATGACTTGCCTCCGTGCCGCTGAATCTTTTTGCACGGTCATTTCCAGAGTTCTTGGGTTTCTCGGGTGCCTCAATTTGCTGGGATCCGACGTCTCCGACCCGCGAATGCCGGGTGCACACTTCTGGCATGTTCGCTTTGCGGGTCAAGAATGCACGGTCTGTTCGATCCACGAACGTGGCACACAACACTATTCCGTCTTGCACTATCCGAGCACTGATGCTGAAGTCGTCCTCATAGTAAATCGTTGCTTTCCATATGCTAGCTTTCATCCCCTTCGCAAGCCCAAGACACACATAGTTGGACCAATGGCTGTCGCGTAGAGCGTGGCTCGTTGTGACTAGCGACTTAATTCGCTTTGATGCTTCCGGGCCCTCGGTCGTTTAAGTTTTTCGTGCGCAACAGTGTTTCCAAGTTGCTGAAGCTGTGCACCATGCCGTTGTGCCAGGAGACAGTGCAGATCATTCAAGGAGATGCAGCAAGCGGAAATGATGAACAAAGTGTGGCCAGTTGCCCGAGCGGCATGTCCCTTGCGGGCTGCACTATATTGCCGTCCATATACTCTTCCAGCGACGGGCTTGCTGCAACATCCGCAGATTGCACAGCTACAGCCGATGGCAGCACTGAAGTGACGGCCGTGGCAACATGCGTGAATGAGTCGGTGGCATTCACAGACGTTGTGGTCAGTGGGGCGCTGTACGAGGACGATACCACGCTCACAGCGACCTGTCCAGACTACTTTGACCTGAAGAGCTGCCTATGCACTTCTGCCTGGGGGGTATCTGGTCCGTGTGGAGGTGAGAGTGCTTTTTCGCCGATCAACACTTCCACGTGCTCCAAAAGCGTGCCATCCTTTCCAAACTCAAACCGGCGCCGCAACGTCGATTTGGGCTATGGTGCGAGAATCTTTGCTGTGTGCACGCAGGCACAGGGCTGGGACACATGAGCAGTCATCAAACCCATGCTTGTGCTTATCTGCTGCAGAGGTGAACGTTATATACATATACATATACACACAGTTTGTCTAATTTTTCCTGTATAATTCTATGTATATTTATATGAATATTTCTATTTCCATGTCTATTTCTATTTCTATTTCTATTTGTACTTATATTTATATTTGTATTTATATTTATATTTATATATTTCTATTTCTATTTGCATTTACATTTACATGTACATTTACATTTGTACTTGCATTCAGATTTACATGTATATTCATGTTTCCATT